AAACTGATTTCAATAGACAGGATTAGTCGACGTATTAAATTTAGAAATAATTACCACAGCACTGATGATGTAAACAAATTAGTCACTATTTTTTCCATTTTTCTTGAATTAGTCCTTTGTTGCTCAGCTTGGGTCCAATGTTTTTCACTTATTCCGAGCACCTACAATCTGTATTTCCCTAACTACTTGATTCGTTCTCTGCACAGTTAACTATAATCTAATATCTATATAAAATAAGGGAGTAAATGGGTCCTTGAGCTCTATTGTCTTGACATATACCTAAATCAGAAAGGTTTTTTTGTAATATTTTATTTCGCGGGTCAAATGAAGTCAGACCACCATGAAAGACCTAGAGTCACTGGACGGCCGTTTCGTCCTAACATGGGACTCCTCGACAATGGGCATTCACGATCCCGCTCACATGATTCTAACTCAGGACCTATCGGTCGAACGCTTAACCGCTAGACCACTGGGCCGGCAACCAACAGTGCTAATGTCTAGCTTCAACTGTGAACAGTGTAGTTCGACCGGGTCTGTTGTGAGGCAGTAACTGACTGAAGACAATGGTGGACGACTTAAGTGGATACAAGCCATTTATATATACGACAATTGTGTTCTCCGTACTATATTTTAAAACTACGCACAATCAAAAACTTTTAGCTTCTTTTTGGATCCCTTCCATTTGTATAGTTCTCTGTTCGTTCATCGCCATATTTAGACTTGTTTTCTTTAACACTTTAAAAGCACTTGCTTAAAAATTGGCTAAACAAAATAGAATAAATCTAGGAAGTCAGACCTAATTGGTCATTCACTAATGAGTCAGTTTCAGTGGTCATGAACATTCCCGTCTTTTCACTTCTACTCTCTCTCACAACACCTTCGTGATGTACCACCAAAAACACAAGTGGAACGTGAGACTTCATTCTGTACCATCAATTGTTTCTCAAATATTCCGGAGGAATATAAAGTTGAGTTTTCTAGAAGCTGTCGACTTAACGTGGATTCATTTTCGACCATCAGTCGCACTTCGCAATACAACCCCCATATAGCGTGCTGACTCTTATATCGACAATTCAAGTTTTACCAACATTGTTTATATTGATAAGTGAAAAGTGTTGTCCTCCTTATTCTATGACCACTATGCCCTATAACATATCATCCTGACCGAGTAACTTATGACAACGGAGCCTGCATCATCCGTAACAGTTGACCTTGCCTGTAAATTGATATGCCTCATATAACTTATTGTTATTTGAGAATACATTATAATGATTATTATTAACATAGAAACTATTCCCAAAGGTCCACTGTGAATTATTATTATCAAATGAGTGAGCATTTTGACTATTCTACAGAACTTATAAAACAATATTATAATATGCTTCATTCTCTTTTGACTAGATCATTGTCAACTGACTTCGGTCGAGATTTTTCTTCATTTCTTAATTTTGTTGTCACAATATGCTGATCCACTGACAAAAAGGTATTGTTTCGCTGAACCCTGGGTTAGGACATGGAGCGGTTGATCATTCATCATCCGTTGGAAAAATATGTAGTTAACTTGGTCTCTTCGATCTAGAATTTCATCCCTTTTAGTCTGAAATATTGTGATTGATTTTCAGGTACCTGACTGTTATTTTTGTGAATCTTATTAACTTCATTGTAATTATATTGTACTAGAGCAACTATTGACTATGTAGTTGGTTCCGAAATGCGTATGCGTCTTGGATTTCTAATATAATTTGTCTTCATGATATTACTTCATGAATCAGACACAAAATTTAAGCATCATTACAATTATTGAATACAAGTGATCCAAATGAGCATAGTACACTAGACATAAAAAATGTAGTTTGGTATGATGAAATCAAAATTTTTCATTGGGTCGTCTTCTGAGTTCGGGATAAATTATTTAGGTCTTGTATTAACTTGGCTCGAAATGTGCTGGGTTTGAAGAAACCTGACAGATTTTGGGTTGTTTATGACAGGGCTTTTGCCATCAAAGAAATTTCAAAATAATGTTGCATATAATACACAAGTGGCAAATGTCTAAAATTCTTTCATTCACGTGGGCAGTTTTCTTAACTTTAAAGCAGAAGGCTACTGAAGTAGCTTATATCGACATACCTTCCGACACTAACTGCGGGAGCGATGCACATTCCTTGTTAGACTTGCGGGTGCCTTTCCCATCCATAACATCCGTGAAGCTGCTGATGAAGTCTTTTTGGATCACACTGTGGGAAGAAATAGGCCTAGGGTCTGTAGTCATATTAGTCTAAACCTACACATCGTCTCATAAATCATCGATATGTATGGTGTTTGGAAACTAGCTTTTAGTTAAAAGTGGTAATGAAAATCAGATAAAGTCCTAATGTTCCGATTACTGAAGCACGTTGTAATACATCACAAGGACATCCTGTGTGATTTCCTTTCAGTGAGCACCACATACAAAGTCAAATGCAAAAAAGGCTTCATATTCAGAAAGCAATAAGGAGTAGATGTTTCTCGCTCGTCCTTCCATCAAAGGATGAAACATTGGGCTACTCCCATGAACAATCCAACGTCGACAAACGGTTTTTCAAACTGCGTCTTAGAATTAGACAGGGGTAAAGAGAAATTCAGCTAATTGGAGATCAGGGAGTAAGCTCAGCACTGACACCTTTATATGTAAGTGAAATTTATATGTAATAATGAATTGCCTGAGTAAGTCAACATAAAGCAAATAATCATATTTAGAAATTTGATGCCCAATCGGTTCGCATCACCAGGAGAAATAATACGAGATTTTATCTCAGTCCCACTCCTTTCTACTTAAGAAACGGTCGGAAATATGTGATTTAAGTGATGACGATATTCTCCAAGCTGTCTTGGTCTGAGCAGTCGGGCAGACCACCATCAGCTCATATCCATTAAAACAAGATGGTAACTGAAAACAATGGCTTTTTCATGTGATTCATGTATCACATTTTCGATAATGCAAATACCACGTATCAGGTTGTTCTACAGCAAGTGAATCCTATTGTCACTTTTGAGCCATTAAGTTATAAATTACTACAGAGCCAAAATATTATCCATAACCACGTAATTTTCGTCAGCACGTTGCTCTCTTCGTTTATCTCACTCCTCATTAGACAGCTATAATCAATCTTTGATATAATTGGGTGTCAACATTTATCGAACGGTATCCAATGATTACTTATATCGCAAGGTTTTAAAATGTATATTTTAAGCCATTCGGAATCGTTGGACATGTAGGGTATTCCAAAAGCAAGAATCGTCGCTTTCAGCGACCAAGTGTTATCCTCTGGACCGCACAGTTAACGTTCAAGGGGTTTTCGAATATTCAGGTTTTGGAACCGAATGGTATCAAGGCCTATTTGGATAGATCATTCTATTTAGCAGTTTATAGGCAAATGCTTGTAGTCCCAAAAATGAATTCTAAGAATAAAGAGCGTTAGTGGACGAATTAAAGTTAATTATCGTTGATGTAACAGTAATGGAGTATGTTTCAAAACAGAATGTGTTCAAACCTACACCTTTAAATTCAAACCAAGGATCTTCTTTGTCTGTCTTAGTAATCGCTCAAGCTACAGAGGATTTTACCAGTCTACATATTCTCTCCTCGTTGGCGAATAGCTATCGTGCTGTTATGTCATTCATGTTTAGAGCTTGTGACATAATATGCAATTAGGTAAAACCTGGTCCAGTGTATAGAGAGCAAACATATCGGCCATTCAAGAGTGTGTTGCAACAACAGACTGGACAGTAGATACTAGCTTATCTGTTGAAGAACCATGGTCTACATTCAAAGATAAAATTAGTTTGGTTACATCCTCGTTTATATCATACTTATTACTGCGTAGACCTAGTAAATATCCACCATGGATAACTAAACAAGTCATGTGACCTTTTAGAAGTAAAAACAAACATTAAAATATTATCATCTATACAGGATCAAGTCAATATAGATCCAGTTACTTTAAGACTAAGTAAGAATACACTGTTATATGAAAAACAATTGGCTAGGGGCCGTGAAAGTTGTTCTAAAAGGTTTTTCTCGTACATAAACAGGAGAACTCAGAGAATTGACAGAGTCCCAATACTTTTGGTACAAGAAAATCAGTTACTATTGGCAATAAATGATGTTGCAAAAGCTGAAGCTCTATAAGAATATTTTAGTTAAATGGTTTCTACCAGCGGTGGTAAACGACCACCAATTATTCGTGATCACGGCGGCTTGTCAAAGGATCATGCAGTTATTGAGGAATGAACCATATTACGATTACTTCGACATCTCAAACCACATAAGTCCAGCGGTCCTGAAGATATTCACCCTAGGATTGTGAGAGCCCCATTGAATGTAATTGCTGAACCTTTGGCTATACCACCTAATATATCTTTACGGCAGTTCATAATGCCAAGAGACTGGAAAGTTGCAATAATCAGTCTGGTGTATGAGGCGGGGAGCAGAAACTTATTTAGTAGCTATCGACCTGTCATTCTAACCAGTGTAGTTGCCAAACTACTGGAAAAGAGTATTCGGATGACGACCTTAAACTTCGTGGAAGGGAATTGTTTTTTGTCTCGAGAACAACATAGAATTAAGAAAAGATCTATCATGTTTGACAAATCTGCTCACTGCGAGAGAAGATTGGGCTGCAGCAAGAAATAGAAATATCCTAAGTAGACCCGTTGACAAGGTCTTTTATCTGAGTCTTAAATCAAGAACGGAAAGTTTTAGGATCCATTATGAAATCATAGACTGGGTAAGTGATTTCCACAACAATAAGATACAGTGGGTAAGGTTAGATGAGGCTCTCCGTGGGAACACGTAAAATTGGAGCTCCACGAAGTATAATCCTGTGTCCCCTTTCTTTTTATAAATTTATGTAACTGTATTAACAACTGTAGCAAATTCATGTGTTCTACTCTTCGCCGATGACACAAAGATTTAGAGACACATACATAGTATGTCACATTCAAAACGAAAGTGTAACTTTAGTTGACTGTTGCGCTACTTTTGGGCATGGTGGTTTTCGTGTGTTCTCAATGCAACGCCACATTAAAAAAGAGTCATGTGCGGAATCACCTACTATCTTCTCGACGTTGTTCTTTGGTTTCGTGCGTAGACTGTCACAAAGACTTTGAGTAGGTTGCGTACATTTTTTTCACTCACTTAAAGTAAATTTTCAGTGGAATCTCACTGTTCATGTATTTCTGAGAAAGAGAAGTATGACAAAGCAAACTACTTGAAATCATCCAAGAGCAACAATAATAGTAAACAAGCGGAGTGGATCAGGAGAATAGAAGATGCAATACAAAATTGTGAGTCTAAACGACACTTGTTTATTCTTCAAAACATCCGAGGGAACTGTAATGTACCTCAAAAAAAGAAAAAGTTCGAGGTAGCCTCCACATTCCTTCTTACTGTGAATAGAATTTCATGAGGTCCAAGTATCGTAAAATACCCGCGGAAACCATTGAAGAAATATGGAAATTATTGGAGCCACTTAAACAGAAGACATCTAGTAATGTCCCATTAAAAGCGCAAAAATATTCTTCAAGTGATGTAACAAATGATGAACCGAAGACAAAGAGACAAAAACTGGAGGACACTTGTGAAGCTTACAATAATTGTTTACCAGAGAACGAATGTCACTTGATGTCACTTCGTCATATACAAGATGTTCTGACTGAATTAGGTGGGAAGGCAACTTTCTCAAGTTTGAGAAAACAGGTACATTTTCACAACTTATCTCCTGTTCAATAGTTGAACACTTAGTCTCATAACGCTTAAGATAGTGGTTCCTGATTTTAAAATGCGATCCTAAACAAAATATAGTATAAAGTCTTCGTCCTCACAGACCAGTTTCATGGTGAAAGGCTGTCAACTGCTCAAGAAGCAGCCGAGATTAATTTGATTTGTCGAATGTTTTACTGTTTCCCAAGGCCTGGGTAAATTCCTGTCCAGAATGACGAAAAAAACCCTTGTTTACATCATCAGTGCTGTGGTAATTATTTCTAAATTTAATACGTCGACTAATCCTGTCTATTGAAACCAGTTTTAATGAGCACAAGTGCAATTTTTTAAATAAGGACTAATAAATTCAAACTATTTAGGAGCCTAGTACGTTTGTTTCAAAATTAAGACAAATATTAGATGGACTCGAATGTACATCTGTTTGTTAGTTGAACACTTTAAGCTACAAACAGTAGTTATTGTTAGCAGCTATATTAACAATCATTAAAGAATAGTACTAACATGTAATTGGTTTAGTTACAGCAACTAAGTTTACCCAATATGCAGTCATTGCATAAGTAGAAACTAACGTATGTACTGGTGAATATTTAAAGTTCTTATAATTACCCTGTAAGGTTTTTTTTCGACAGCTTTGCTGACGGTTCTGATAGTTTATCAGTAATGGGCTTTCTAAAGTCAGAAAAGTCTCGGCTGAATAATAGCCGTAATAACCCGAAGTAATGGTCATTTTGCGGGACCCTAATTGGTTGTATGTTATCTTGTTGGATAAGAAACCGATTATCTGCAGTTTCAGGGATCATTAATCGGTGGGCATAAAAAGATTATCAATACTTTCTTGTTACTTTATCTTTAGTGTTTATTGCACATCATACCCTTACCTCCATACCTCTCACATACGTCCATTAATCCTACAGAATCACTGGATCTTTCACTCATGAGCCTTTTTAGCGTTTTCACTCAAAAGTTGTTTTGAAGTTTTGAGTCTCATTTTTATTTATATATAACGAGGACCTGCAGGTAATGTCTACGGGTCAATTACTTTACTAGCTGTGACAACATTTGGAGATGTGAGAATAAGAGGACCAAGTCCTGTTTGAGATGTTTTGAGGTGTTGTCTGATGTCCACTTCTTGGAAGGACTACTTCCTCTTGAGTGAACTGTAAGGGATATTGGAATAATTGTAAAGATTTTATGGACGTGGAAACATCAAGATTATTATTCTTAAGTTATACTTACTATCGTTGTTTTTATTTAGTCTCGTCGTAGATATACCCCCTACAAATTGCATCAAATGTTTCGAAAATTGATCTCTGTACTGGGAGCTCAATTTTGGATATGAAGTGGACGCTGATGAATCGGTGTTTCGTGCATGGCTGCAATCGATCATAGCAAATTGCCCAGGAAAGTACCTGACCATCATGGTGGGATATCTAAACGCCGATGTCGGAATGGACAACACAGGATATGAAGATATCATGCAACGGCATGAATTGAAAGAAATGAAAGACGATAGTGACTAGTTTGTAGACTTGTGTGCATTCAACAAATTGTTTATAGGCGACACAATATTTCCACACAGACGCATACAAAAAGCTACATGTATCTCACCGGACCACACCACAGAGAACCAGATAGATCATATTTGCGTCAGTAAAAAATTCCGAAGAACAATGAAGATGTGGGAACCAGGAGAAGAGCTGACATAGCTTCAGATCACCACTAGCTGGTTGTGGCCAAGATGAAACTGAAGCTAAAGAAACACTGGACAACTGGAAAGGCAGCATTACAAAGGTTCAATACAGCCTTCCTACGGAATACTAACAAACCCAACAAATTCAAGATAACTCTCAACAACAGGTCCCAAGCCTTACAGGATCTACTGAAAAAACAGGAAACTACTATGGAGGACAACTGGAAAGAGATCAAAGAATCATTGTCTGGGCCGCAAGAAGCATCATAATGAGGAGTGCATCTCCATGGAAACCCTGGACAAGATTCAAGAAAGAAAGAACAAGAAGACAGCAATTAACAACAGCCGAACACGAGCAGATAAAGTCAAGGCGCTAGCTGAGTACACAGAAGCAAACAAGCAAGTGAAGAAGAGCATTAAAGCCGACAAGCAGAAATACTTGGGAGAACTAGCAACGACGGTGGAAAAAGCTGCAAGAGAAGGAAATATGAAACAACTATATGACACGACGAAGAAACTAGCAGGGAGATATAGTAAACCGGAGAGACCAGTCAAGGACAAAGAAGGAAAGACAATCATGAAGATTCAAGAAAAGAGGAACAGATGGGTAGGACACTTCGAGGAACTGTTGAATAGACCAGCTCCATTGAATCCACCGGACATCGAAGCAGCGCACACAGACCTTCCTGTGGATGTCACCCCGCCAGCGATCGAAGAAATCAGGATGGCCGTCAGACACATCAACAATGGGAAAGCAGCTGAACCTGACAATATACTAGCTGAAGCACTAAAGTCAGACATTGAAGTAACTGCAAACATGCTTCACCTACTATTCAAGAAGATTTGGGGAGAGGAACAAGTGCCGACGGACTGGAAAGAAAAACATCTCAACAAGATACCAAAGAAAGGAGATCTGAGGAAGTGTGAGAACTACAGAGGCATCACACTGTTGCCAGTACCAGGAAAGGCAGGTTTTTAACAGTGTTGTCGAGCCGGACGAAAGACGCATTAGACGCCAAACTTCGAGGTCAACAGGCTGGATTCCGTAAGGATCGGTCGTGCACAGACCAAATTGCGACACTACGGTTCATCGTCGAACAATCAGTTGAGTGGAATTCGTCATCATACATCAACTTCATTGACTATGAGAAGGCATTTGACAGTATGGATCGGAGAACATTATGGAAATTTCTCCGACACTATCAAGTTCCTGAGAAGATTTGTCAACATTATCCGGAACTCATACGACGGACTACACTGCAAAGTCGTGCATGGACAACTGACAGATGCGTTTCCAGTAAGGACCGGAGTCAGACAAGGCTGTCTACTTTCCCCCTTTCCGTTTCCTCTGGTGGTTGACTGGATTATAAAGACCCCGACAACTAATGAGAAGGTCGAAATACAGTGGACAGGTTGGATGCAGCTAGATGATTTGGACTTCGCAGATGACCTGGATCTTCTATCCCATACACACCAAATGTAGATGAAGACAAGAAGTGTGGCAGCAGCCTGTGCATCAGTAGGCCTCAACATGCATAAAGGAAAAAGCAAGCTCCTCAAATACAACATGAAAAACAACACAATCACACTTGATGGCGAAACTGTGGAAGATATGGAATCTTCCATGTACCTGGACAGCATCATCGATAAACAAGGAGGATTAGAGGCAGACTAGAAGGCGAGGATTGACAGCCTGGGCCTGATTCCTACAATTGAAGAACATATGAAACTCAAAACCTCTGTTAACCAATATCAAAGTGAGAATCTTCAAATTGAAAATCAAGACAGTTCTGCCATACAGGTCTGAAACTTGAAATGCTAATGAAACCATTATCAAAAATGTACAAGTATTTATAAATAGTTGTCTACGGAAGGTTCTCAACATCCATTGGCCGGACACCTTCAACAACAGCCTTCTGTGGGAGAGGACAAACCAGCTTCCAGCTGAGGAGGAAATATGGAAAAGACGATTAGATAGGATATGCATTACGGAAATCATCAAACCACATCACGAGACAAGACCTAACTTGAAATCCTGAAGGGAAAAAGGAAAAGAGTAAACCGAAGAACACATTACGTTGGGAAATTGGAGCAGATATGAAAAGGGATGAATAAAAACTGAAGGGAATTGGAAAGGATTGCCCAGAACAGGATTGAATGGAGCGTGTTGATGGGCGGCGTATACTCCTCGACGAGGATTAACAGGCGTTAGTATGTATTTAAGCATGGCTTCAGCATAATGTACTCGGCAAATGCTATGGGTCATTTGACGAGCCTGTTACTATTAATTATAGGTGATTAGAACATATATTATAGATCCCCTGCCACCTCATGCCTGAAAGCGTGGTGTTTAATTGGGAGATATCTAATGAAGGTCGAACCACGATGCAATGTCAGTCCATGAAATTATTGTTGAAATTATACATGTTTGGAGATGCAGACTACACGTTTGTTGTATGATCGTTAACCATAATCAGTTATTAGAGACATTAGGTGACGAGTCTCAGTTTATGAGAGCGACGCCGATGCATTCCTTGTTTCTCGGACCTCTAGCTGTTTTTTTAATTTGTGCATACCCCTTCATCCTTTTTAACCACGTTCTAAGTATTTAGTCTTTTTTTATTGTCATCGCTACTCTATTCTTTGAAATTCTTTTCTATTCGTCTTGTTAATTTCATTCCTTTGTGCTGATTCGATATGGCGCATTTGATTAACTCACATTTGTGTCACACTTTACGTTGATTCTGGTCAATTACAAAAAGCTGTCTGAAACTGGTCACACACGACCGTATTCTTAGATTTGCACTTCTCAAGTCTCATCATCAGCAACCAGAAGTATGTGGCGCATGACGAAGTACTATGTACTTATAATGCAGCTTTCCTAATCGCACAATAAAATTTGCTTGCTTCCCTTGGGAAATACTTTCATGCTGTCATGTTCCAGTGAAGTTCATGGTGCAACCTCAGCCTTAGACATCAGATCTGCTGCTTTTTTCTTAACCACTCTTTAACCAAAGAATAATTGTTTCAGCTATTGACTTGATTTATGTGATGGCGGATGATTAATTAAAGTACAAAGTTAATAGAAGTTCCCAGTTTTATGCGTAAAAAGAGTATAAAGGCATTTGTTTTCATGCTAGTTTGGAAAATATGTGCATTTTTTTGAAAATGTTCTTATCTTTTTTGGTGAGTGTGGATTAAATGTGTATTTTTGTTCCCAGATTTACAGGACGTATAAAACAAGCGTACTTTCCCCACAAGAATGCATGACAAAGAAAGAGTTTAAAGCCAAATTGTTAGGGGTCATTCAAGGTTCAGAGTACTTTATTTTTTCGCCATGTGATGGTATGATCAGCATGGTTAGTGATGGTTTAGTCACTGAATCAGTTCCTCGTAAGTATTTAATCTTTCCTGATGAGATTTTAGATGTAAATCCAGATCCAGATATTTCTCTAATCACTTGTCAGAACGATAAACCCCATTATTCTGAAAGTCTAAAAAAGTTACTAATCAATACAATAAACGATGCGGGAGGGCGAATTTCTCTGAAGAAGCTTGTGAAAAGAGTAAGACAATTTATTTTGGTTTGCTGTAGTTCGACGATGTTTTTCGCTAATTTATGTGTTAAAAACAATTTAGCCTAGAATCTGACGTATGCTTTCGTTATTTATTTTTCTAGATCACTTAGAAAAATATTGTGAGGTTATAATCAAATTCTGAATGCCAATGTGTATATCGCCGGTAAATTTCTCTAACATGAGACATAGATTGCAGCCTACTTTAAATTCTAATTGCTTGTTAGCACTTCAGAGTATATCTCAGTAAGAATCAATATGTGTTGTCTGAAGCCATTAAACTTTGCAGCTATCCCAATCAATAGGGGCGTTTAATATTCATGCTTTTTTGTGTGCACTGTTGCTCACTGCTTTGGGAAATTGTTTCAGTCAACGTGCTACTGTTCCCAGATAGTGTGATCTTGTTCTAATTGCATAATGTTGACTATCAAAATTATACCACGACTCAATCCAATGACGTTATCGAGAAACGCAAAAATCAAAATCTTTACACCCCAAGTATTGTGCCTCAGTTTTCAGTGTTTTACTGTACCAAGTATGTTTTGGTAACCCATGAGCAAATAAGAAAGTTAAAAGAAATTTTGTAACTGTAGCAGCGAACTAATTTCGAGAATTTATCTCAAAAAAATTGTTTGTATGAATTAACGCTTCAATATGTGAAAAAAATCCGGAATATATATATCCAATACACTGTAGCCAATTTTGAACCGTGTCACCTAACGTAAAGCTGACGAGCATTATTATTTTACCATGCAGTAGCGTCGATGTCATTCGACATACATGGTTGGTTGATGGTTTTCTGTAGGAATTCCACATATTCAGACCACATTAGTGTTTCAGGATACACAAGTTTTTATTATTCAAATACTATTGTTAAAGTGAGTCCCTCTAATAAGATTGAAAGATTTATTAACTGAAGAATTTTAGATGATATACTTAAGTAATTAAATAAAACATTTAATAGTTTCATTCCCAGATGATTGATCAAACTAATTTGTGCATTTTGGACATTTATCCCATGCTCTACGTCGATTATGATTAAATTCTTACCATATACCCAGTTCTTAATGAGTTTTTAACTCCGTATATACACTTTTTTAATGATTCGTTTATACACAAACACTTAATTGAAAGTATCACCATCACAGACGGAGTAGATTCCGTAAATTTATCCTGAAAAATATAATATTCTTCTCATTACTTCCAAAATGCGATTTTTTTTACAGCATGCAATTGATATTAATCACTTTATTGATTTGAATATAGGCCTCATCACATGTTTTGAATTCAAATGATCAAAAGGAAGTTAGTCTTACGAAAGAGGAATTGAAAAGTAAAATTGTGGGAAAAGTCAATAAAAGTCAGTCTATGAAACTTTCAGATGACGGTAAATGGGTTGAACTTTGCTCATAAATTTGTGTATATATTTTTTCATATAATACAAGATACATATCTATTCCAGAGTTTTATTTCATTGTGACTTAACAATTCCGAGATTGAATTTGTGTAGGAAATGTTTTTTATAGGCTCGTTGAAAACTTGTTCATGATATTTAGCGTTGTCATATTTTATTTGTTTGACATTATTCAGATATAGAAGTTAGTGTAAATATAGTTCTAGAAAGCGTTTAAGATGAACCTCTGACGGGAGCACTATTTTAGTTTTTGTTATTGCACACTCCAAACTACAAACGCGATGTGAATACCTAACATGTGCGAGAGATTTGATTTTTATTTAGTTACCTGTTTTTGTGTCTGGTATGGTTTTGGTCATTAAAATAATATGGTCATACTGAAAACTCCTTTTCTTGTTTACCATGGCACACCTAAAGATTGTTTTCCTCTTGTCGTCATTGATACTAGTTAAGAGAAATGATTTAAACAATCTTGTCAGGTTTGCTTACTTTCTCTATCCTAATCCTCTTCTCACCAACTCTTTTTGTGTTGTTTCATACTAATTAATATTCAGTAAATAGTTGTATCCCTAACAATTTCTACCTGTATGTTGTGTCTCAAGCTTGTCGTGTAATATTCTAAAGTATTTACATATACTTATAACATATATTGTATTTATCATTATAATTACTTCCTCTCAATCCCTATAACCGTTATTCCGAATTTTGTATGGTCGTTGAATCTTTGTTTAAACGCAACGGTTCCCATATTTAAATAAATAATATATTTGTAATATCCCAATGAGTAGAAAATCTAATTTTTCTACTCATTGGGATATTACAAATATATTATTTATTTGTAACAATCTACCCAATGCTCAATTTATTCAAAATTATCAAATCAAAACTTGGTAATGATACCTAAAGGTTCCCATATTTGTTTGCCTTTAATTCAATTTTTGCTTGTTGATAAACTGTTATTAAGAGCAGACACAGCTATCAGCTGTCATTTGCACTATCGTATGTCATAATTATTCTTTATGTTATTATTTCAGGAGACCCTTTTTCTTACAGACACGCTAAGCATCGCCTCACTAGTTGAGGTTTGTAACTAATTTATATCTATTCCTCAATAAAGGACCGCTTTTTGGATAAATTGCTGATTTATGAACTTTATTTTCGCGCGTACCTCATTCGCGTAATTAGACGCTTTGATAGATTTGACAAACCTCCGGTAGGCCTACTGCTCATTCGAAACAGTGATATTTGTTATTAAGTTTTGTCTATAAATTGTTTTTCAATTAATGCACCTGAATTACAATTAGTAGATAACTTCAAAGCAATCGTATCCCCCATGGTATGTTCTTGTAGTCAAACAAATATGTGGTTAATGGATCCACAATATGGGTGGGACATAGCCCACTCTTTACAAGCTGATCTTAAACTCATTATTTACTACATGACTATTTATTTATTTATTTAAACACATAAATATTGGTACAAGGAAGCACCAGATAAATTCGCTTTTCGTCCTCTCAATTTCGTAAACAACAGTAATGCCACGAGAAGGCAGAGTAGGACTTCCCTGGCAGAGGCTATATATTCGCGTGGCCATATGAGAGCATTTCGAGGGGGAGAGTGGACTCTCCCCACTTACGGCCGTACCAGGGCATTTGGGGGCAATACTACATGACGGTAGTCTGCATTTTAACTGCAACAGATATCAAATTATTACTGAGTCAGTTATCTTGCGGTTCGACACATCGCATCATCGACATTAAGTTTGTAGCTCCTGGTAGCTTAGGTGGGACGGCCCCTGGTATTTGTAAGATTCAGATGATATCTTCATTTTGAACACTAGGCTTCCCATGCAGTACTCATGCTTTGTATAATTATCCTCATAGGAGACTTACCAACAATTCGTCGTAGTAGACTGATTAGAGTCATAAACTTGTGTGGCACCCACTGAAATTCAGTGCCTTAAGGAATTACAATCTTTCCTACCTAACATTTCAGCTTTTAGTTGTCTTTGGTCACTGATCAAACAAATAAATCTCTGTACCTAGAAACTAGGCAGCAGGACGATGTATGTTATTTGATAATAAATTACGTAATCTGATATATTTGGACTGTAACTCAGAGAAGCATAAGCAGAGATAAAGAAAAGATCTGTTACTTCTTATTCTCATTAAACCCTAACATGACTGTTAATAGCGATCCAGGCAATTATTTTTGCCCAAGTGAGGTAGTGAGGCTGAAAGTCAGTGGGACAAGTTCCAAATGTAAGCTCACGTGAAACACCAAAAAATTTAAAGGTTATAGATCCACAGTACTAAAGTCTTGAATAAACATTTCTAAAGTAGATCTTAAGTTCACGAGACTTCCAGATCACTAACCACATGTTTCATATATGTATCAACTTAGGATCCTTATGAGTAGCAGATACAAATGACGTATAGTTTCGGACTAGCTTCATCAGTTATTGTATTGAGAGAGAATAACCCTTTGATAGCAATTGTATAATGGCTTGAGACCGTTTTAATAGATCAAAAATCCTATCATGTGCCATTTCGTAAGTAAGAAAATTTCAAGATGAGGTGGGGAAAAACTAAGCGTCACCTAGAATGAAAGCAATATAGAGCTGATAATTGATATAAATAACCTTGTTTGCAACAAAGTACGATTTGTACTCACATACAGAACGGTGTATTTATCCCATCGATCTACGATTGGTTTGGTTTATGTAAATATCCATCGCACCGTTGGCCCTACCTGAGTTTTCGGGCTACGACAATCATTACTCTAAGTTTACTTCCTTAACCTTTTTCTGATGAATGGTGTTGTAGAGTGAATAAATTTGATCAAATAGTGACGGAGTATCATGTATCAGCTGGTTAGAAGAATCAGTACGTTCGGAAAAATTAGATCTGACCCGTTTACGTTTTTCAATTAACTTCTAAGGGTCGTCAGGTCAACACGATTGATCCTTAAGTGGCTTATTTTTTAGCGAATTAACTCCTTTAATTGTATCCAGCAAATCATTTGGTGTGAATAATATTGTAAATGTACATGTGCCACACAAATCTCATTCGATTTGTGTGAGGGCTGTGATACTGCCCAGGTGCTCAAACTGAAGCAGGTGGTTTTCTTAGGGGCCCACACCCGGAGCCTTTGACCTAGAGGTCTAATCCATAAGGCAGTGGAGCATCGTGAGGAGATGCATTCCCATGGTGACCCGTGACCAACTATTGATTCGTACGCCATTTGTTCCCTCAGGATACTGGAGCCCATGTGCATCAGTGGTTTGGAATCAGGGTCTTCCGACTCCCCTAGGTGGACTTTCTGTGTCTACCAACCCGGTTAAAGCGCCGGACATTCGCCTTGAGCTTAGAATGCAACAATATTTTGTTGTTCTGCATACACTAGTGACAGTATGAACCTAACTGTAAGAGTATATTTCAGTGAATCTCCTGATGTGCTTACATACACTTGACAGTCAGGAAGAAATTGACTAGTAAGGCAAAGTTGATTTTATTCAAAGAAACATTCATTTCTGAATATACATATTTACCTTAATGACTTGACTCTTTGGGTTACTAGCTCATCGTATGTATACGATATATCAGTTAAAAGTCAGAAATCGTTATTAAGGTGAATGGAGTGTACTTTGTGAAGCATTCCTCTTGCGTAACCAACAGTTATGTTGACTAATTTTACATATTAATCGAAAGTTTTGGGTCTTTGTTGTTCATTGAACATTAAATTTTGCCTTGATTAGAGTAGACTTAACTTACAGAACTAATATCTGAATGTTAGTGAAAGCTAGTTGCTAAATTATGAATTATGATACTTCAGTTCCAAAAAATAACTCACAAAATTGTGCATCAAGTGCGACTATATTTACGGATTGTTCTAAATTGGATTATAACATTTTACGATTTGAAATATCTAACTGTTTCACCGCCGAAATTGGATCTAGTTCTCGTCCGAGTAACCTGTTTCTGTCTGATTAGCAATTTTAATATGTTTTTTACCTAATCGGGGAATAAGAGTTGAATTCCACCCAGTGTAGTCTATTGTACACAGACTGGTAAAAGTGTAAATTTTCTGCTATTAAGACCAGCATGCTTCAGTTTGAGAAGGAAATAATATTCAAATATGAGTCACTTGGAGAATTGATGCATTTAGTATGGGAAACTAACTTTCATAGATGAAAAATGTTTCACTGGTTCCAATGTAATGCCTTAAGGTGGAAAAATGGCATATATCACGGTCCTAATAACCAGAAGATTAGAAAACGTGAGATTGATGAACTACTGGTTCATCTGTAGGAAGAAAAAGTAAGTATTAACAAGCATTCTGATGTATCAATCAATATTAATGTGTTCGTCTCACTCCATAAACAGCTGTTGGTATTTTCATTATGCGTAACATCTCTATTCACTGTTAGAACATTCATTTCTTTTTAGTATCATGCATTTTTTTGTAAACATTTAAACCACATCAAGTTAGTTAGATGCAGTGCATTTTTCTATATTATCAAATTTATAATATTAGTTTTCGACAATAATTCCAAATGAACATCAACAACCATACCCAATTTTGTTAACTGAATTCCTAACTATACATCTTATGCATAGATTGATGATAATGTCCTTTTTTTTTAAACTTTAAAAGATTGAGTAAGATTTATAGGCTTTAACAATTAATGAAATTCACATACCTAAGTGTAATGTGTTATAATTCCACTTATCTTTCAATGAACTATTCATATTTACTTTTGAATTACCAAAAACAATATCATGTAAGATTATGCACCAAGAAAAGAAAGTCAAGTAATGAATTAATCATTAGAAATAACAATCGCAAAATGAAAGTTCTTACAATACATTCATAAAAACATTCTTTTTATGAAATTATTGGTGACTATCCAATTCTTGGGGATTTAAAAGTTTTTTATATAAAGAAATTTTTCTATGTTAGAAGTAAAATAATTCCTTCTAGTTGTCTGAATTGTTTGAAATGATAATCAAGTAGCAAAGGGATCCGTATAACTTTTAATCTAAATTCCATCTTAAATAAAATATACGAAAATAAATCGAATAAGAACATGAGAGATTTTTTATACGTACGTGTACATGTAGTATATCTAATTGTATATGTTTACATAATTCACATTTACTCTTTTTTTCTCCTCAATATTCTGTTGATTTTTCATCGACAACATGTATTCTTCTTGGTATTTGCATCATTCTTTAAATTTTGAAGAGTTTGAAGTTCATAAACTTCTTTTTCTTTGAGTTTCCTTGATAAATAAAGAAATTAGTGTAGATTTTATATAGAAATTTTCTGTTCTTTATTTCAATAATTTATCTCACTACAGATGAAGTATTTAGTAGATTACCATTTGAATGCACGTACGATGTGTTCAATTGTCTTTTTAATTCATGTAAAGTGTAAATGGTCAAACAGTTTATTTACTTTAAATGAAAAAGCTGATCGGACTTTACCATTAAACGCTTCTAGTACCTAGATGGTTTTTCAAAGTTGAAATCATTAGTCAATTGAATCTAGATGGTTTGTTATTTTATTCCGTTGATACTCTGATTGTATACTCTAGTGGACGGATGGAGAAATCAATATTCCTATGGAATTCTACATAGATTTGATAGAATATTAAAATGGTCTAAATCCAGATGAACAAAATTTTATTAGGTAGAACTAGTCAGATGGAGGCATATGAACATATATGAGCATATCAATGTCACTAATTATCCTTCCTTGGCCCTAATTCCCTCATTGGGTACGTTTTTTGGTTTTTGTTTTTTTCTGTACTTTTATCTGATTATTATCGGTTTTTTGTTTTTTAAATTACTATTTCACATTTAAACTCTAATCAGTTATTATCATTGCCTTATACAAGTTTTCTTGATTATTCAGCCTATTATTATGACCTTTGTGTTTTTCGCTTTTCTTCATATCTGTCAATTGAACTATTATTTCACCCATAAATTATTTCCTTTCTTACCCCTTGATTAGTACATAACCTCATTTGTTATTTATTGTCGAATCTTTTTATTATGCAATCTTTCCTAGCCTCCTGTAAACATATATTTTCCATATATATATATATATATTTATATATATATGAATGTACAGCTTAAGTAAATGATTTCGTCTAAAAGAAAATTTTCTTCGCTGAATTCTCTTTTTCTTAATCAGTAGGTGTTTAAGTAACTTGATCTGACTAATAGTTATCTGTCGTTCAATAAATATATACTTATTGACTGTGAAAGAATGTTTGTATTGCCACTGGCATGACTATTTGTTAAAATTGAGGGTTTATTAATAATATGGCAGAAAGGACGATTTATTAACGATTGAATGGGGTGAACCACACAGTGGTTCAATAGTTCTTGCTCGCCTCAGAAAGTTGAGACCAAGTGACGATAACCATATATGGGGATTTTATGTTGTAGGAAATTTCCATTGATCTCAACTTTATAAAGCAGACAATACTTTGAGAAAAATACTAAGTGACCAATCACTAATTCTCAGTATCCGTTAAAGTTGTTTCAATTTCAACAAGTCAGATACTGAATCATTTAAACGATATCATTAAAGTTTTCTCAGGACTATAACTCATGAAGCGATTTAACATAGCGGCTACTGGATTAATTTACCTAAATTGCTAAATAACATTTTGACTTCATATCTGATATCAATTTGTAATGAAAACTTAATCTAATTCCTAACCATAGCTACTAACTGGAACTCATAATCTTAATTTCTCACAGTAATTGATAGCCCTGTTTTGACCCTACTAAGTAGATGAAGTTTTTTGAGGCTACTTTAGCATCGCTCAAACGTTGGCTATAAGCTGTAATCTTTCCGAATAATTTTCAAAGCTTCCATTTGAGTGAGAAAAGGGTTTGGATGAATTGATACAGTGTTTTTTGCTACCTTATCAATAACATCCAACTCTATAGAAAGAGAAATGAAATGAATTCTTATACAATATACTGGGAATTATATGTCCACACATAATAAACGCGTAATATTAAATAGTTTTACCTTGCCATAACCATAAACGCCTCTTCTATATTTTGTCCAGTCTTCGCACTGACTTCAAAGCACGTTGTTTTATATACCTGTAGATTTAATAGGTAAAATTTATTTCTGATACAATTAACTGGAAACATGTGAATCTGAATTAAAGATGATCGTCAGTTAAGATACAAATTATTTTAGGTTTCGAACTTGGTCAGGATGAAATACCTATTTTTAAAGATTATACTGTAGTCAAGTATACCAACCGACAAGTAAAGAACAATTTGTTTTCGTGCAATGTTCGAGAAATCACTTCAAATATCGAAGTCAGCTTTATAGTATGAATTTACCCATCTTTTTTCAGTGTTCAATAAACATACAGTTTCTAGCGTTACCGAGCAGTTTTCCGATCTTATTAGTCCTAGCTTCTAAATCTAAGTTCATTGAAGTAATTTGTTAAGTAAAGTTGTGTTGGGATTATACCGCACTGATGAATTTTGTATATAATTCTTAGTGAAAAAAATGAAGACCACTATATCATTTTTTAAATTCTAAATAAGTGAAAATAATTATTCATTTTCTTCAAAAATAAAAAAATACTCAACACTTGGGAGAGGTTGCAGCGAAATTTTTTCACAAACTTGAAGCATGACACAGTCAAATTTACAATCACAAAATGACATCATATATTAATATAGGGCTTGTGGAAGTCTGTACAAGTCGTAATACTAATGTGATACTTGGATTGTCAGTTTTAACATTGAATATATCGGTTATATTATATGTATCATGCATAGTTAGCAGTGAGTTTGTTAGTATTGTATAGGCCTGTCCACTTATCATATTTGCTGATTTCTTTAACTAAGCATAAGGCCATTTGAAGACTCGTGTGGACGTATGGCTGACCGCCTAAGCTTTCTCTTTTCATTGGGCTCATTGTTGGTTTGCTCATGTGAATGCACGAAGTATGATTTCCTAGTTGCATTTATTATTTGGCTTCTAATTATCACCGTTGTATAAACGCAATTAGCCGAAGTAAGAAACAGGAAATTAAATATGAGATATATTTCATCCTTATCAATTAGAGTCATAATTCAGGTTACAAAATGGTTGAGCACTTTAACTACAAAAGTAGCGACCCTAAATGGGAACCCAATGCTCCATGTCTATAGTAAGTCAACCACAGGAAAGTGACCATACGTTTGCCGTTAAAATTATCATGTCAATATTATTATGACCACCGGCGTAGTTCGTTACAATCATTGAAGCACTGTTTACAAAACTTCGTTAATGTTTCTGTCACTATGACATCTGAATGCCCACTAACAAATTCACCGTGGCCACAAATTATCTACTCTAATAAGTACAAAACACATACCACTAAAGAATCCAATCAATTATTAACTTAAAATGCAAATCAGTAGCACATACTTCTCTAACCCATCAGTATATATATATATATATATATATGCTGGGTTTCATGAATCAATACACATGGGGTTGTCGCGATTTTTTTGTCCTTATAATATAAAATACTAAATATTTTTGTAGTATATAAAGAATCCTCGGTAACTTGTCAGATATTTTAATTCGAATCACTGCTATACAAAAGAACTTACGCGAACAATTTTATCAATTGTAGCTCGTGACACTGCACGTTTATCATCGTTTTCGTCAATGAGATCAGACTTATTTTCAAGAATTAAGATAACGGTATTCTCATCTGTTTCTTCGGTAACCGATTGAAGCCATGATCGTACGGCCAAAAAACTTGATTCATTAGTTGCATCGAACACAATAATTACACCATCTGATTTACGATAATATTGTCGTGTAATACTTCTGAATCTGCAAGTTTGTCAAGTTAAGGTATATTTTTACTTCAAAATGTTACACTACTTAAAAGTAGTTGAAAAGTTTCAAATATGTTTTTGTAACTTTTTGAATTCAGACTAACCTCTCATGAAAATTGAATATCAAAAAATAGTTTTTCTGATATTCCTGAATTCCTATAGAGGATATCGTATTAGCATGGACTGAACATATTTCCGAAAATCTATCAATTCTCAAGAGAAATTTCCACCTAGTTGATAGTACAATAGATAAACATCAACAGTAATTTCTGGAACACGATCAATATGAACTATCAACAAATTATTCTAAGCAGCCACTTTACACTTAATTTCTACCAATCGCTCAATAGTGAATTCAGTTTAGAAGATAACTTAATCACATTCGAGACATGGACATAAACTATGGACATAGGCTGTCAAATCCAGGCATGTGAACGTGAAAATGTCAACAGCTGTATTCATTAATGTTTGGTTTATAGTGGTTTGGAGATTCTCTTGGTATCATCCATAGAATTTTATTGGATCCCTCAAAAAGGCATAAGAAGATCTGTATTCCTGGGGCTAAGAATACGTGTAAAAAAAATTCATATACTATCTTTTGACTTTTACTCATTGCTTATTATTACTTCTACTACGTACATCGAAAAATTATTCATTTTAAATGATTCTCTAACTTTCGACCCAGTGCCTAGTTTATTTTCTGGTTTTTTGATGAACTTTTACGAGACTAATTGATATCCATGCAAGTCTCGATCTAAAGTTTGTAAACAATTAGTATTTTAATATTGTTTTCAATAATGGCACTAGATTTCTAGATTTGTTAAAACTTTGGATTCAGAAATGTTCTCATATAACTTGATCACTCAGTTTGGATTCTCGAACACATTCTATAATAATGATAATGATCGTTATTTTTGTCAAATTCATATCCATTTAAACCTAATGATAAGTCGAATACGCTTCCCTATGGTGTTACGTGAGCAATGAACCTAATGAATAATGCAGAACGATCTTGAAATTTTGACGCATTTTATCCAATCAGAAATTAGCGAAACTTGATAGATAATTATCTGTAGAATATGAAAGAGTTATTGAAAATATGCTGATTTTACATGAATAAGATACTTTTTGAAGGTGTCTATAGACGCTCTAACTTAATATCCTAAACCTAACTTTCATACTCTTCATGGATTACAATGAAATATCAATGTATCTCGTACTTCTGAATATGAATTAAACGTCATTCCATACACACATTCACATTTTAACGTTTCCTTTGACATTCCAACGTCTAGTGAACACTTTATTAAGACATTTTCTTTACTGATATTCTTCATGACCGGATCATTCGTAAACTCTCATTTCCTTTATCGTTAAATAAACGACGTGTTTGACTGACACTGATAATCCTGTTGTCAATTGTTTGTTCTTGATTAATTTAACGATATTCTTTAGCTTAGCCAAATTAACTTTAAATGTAAGTAGAAAAGATCTGGTGATTTTTACCACTAATAATGCACTTTAATGTAGGGTAGAAATTTTTTAAAACACTTATATCACTTGAGAAAATATTCTCTTGTATATAACACATTTTTCTAGTCACAACTTAAAGGGATTCAATGTATTGTAAATAAGGTAGTGTAATAAACTTGAACATTCATTATTATGTGTAAATACAGTTATAAAATGGTCGAACTTTCGGAGATCATGTTTGCTTAAAAAAGAGTGAATTCTATGACTTAGTAAGGAAATGAGGATTATGAAGAATTTCAAGATCTCGTAAACCTGTCTAGTAAACGAATGTTAGCGGATAAATAAACCATATTCATAATAATTTTTACTCTTAAAATCAAACTATAGTACACTTCTATTTTGGATCCGTCCATTCAGCTTCTACAGTAAAAGTTTGATGAAGAGATTCTGGTTCCATTCCGATGGTCGTGTATGAGATTTATTATTTTCTCCATCTTTTAATAAATTTGTAGCCTGAAATTAGTCTCAGTATGCTTCAAAATAAGATGAATAATTACTGAACTGCAAAAAGCTTTGGTGATAGAATCACTTTCAAATGAATTGTGATAGAAAAGTTGATTTGAGCAAAGTTAACTTTTACTTTTTTAATCTTCTAAACCATAAGAACTAATGTAGTATTTAATATGAAGATTCAGTAAAACTACAGTAAATTAAAATTACCGTGCTTACATAACTTATCTGAGCTTACATATATGTGTTTCATATAATTCATATGTTTAAAATGATTTACGCAGGGATATCTTATCCTGTAGTAATTCTAAAAATAACTTTCGCGGAATGCTCGAGTTGAAACACTATCAACAAATAATGTTTGGGAGTAATTAAAACAAATGAGATTTCGAATTAAAGCTTCGATCTATTACATGCTAGCTAAGTATGGATGATCCTAATGAGAATAATGTCTATCGGCCATCAGTTTGAACTCCAATAAATATATAAATAAATAAACACCCTATAACAAATTCAATTCATGAACTTTCGTTTACAAAAGTGAGAAGTTAAGTGAAAACGGAATTATATCTGAAAAGTGACAGAAGTTGTAAATATAGATTACTATTTATTAGTTGAGTAATGTGGTGTTTTATGTTAGGCATAACTATACTGGATTCTATCCCGTATACCATTTTGAATGTAAACTGATGAAGAGTTTTTACTCAGGATGAAATACTTTACCACTAATTTCGAAGATTATTTAAAATACTTCATTAAATGACATAACTTAATGAGTGAAATTACTTCATTGATTGTAGACAATCTTCAAAAGAAAAGAATATCCGTGAATATTTTCCCTTTTATAGAAAGTGTAATTATCATAATAGATGAAACCATATCATTCCTGAGGTTTGAACTGATAATTGCAAATAAATTAGCGTCGATTGAATCGTTTGTACGAAAAGGGTAATTTATTTGTAATGTCACAGGTGGTAGAATGTTGAACTTTTGACGTTACACGGTCCGGTGTAAGTCACAGAAGAAATGACCTACATTCGTCAAAAATGTTAGAAATTCACTTTTCAACTCGTTCGCATATTACAAGCATGTGATTGTTCTCGTTATAACTGTTGTGATATTTATATTTCGCTTGTATATTAGCAAATCGACAAATTTAGTTAACTATGTAGTAGTTATAACAACTCTACATGTAAATAGGCAGTACATACAACAGATGGTTGGATGTTAATCCTGAACTGTAAATAACTTTAATTTATGGATCTGTATGTTTTAGTAGTGCTGACAAGCCGTTACATTAGATTATATGTTGTTTCTCTTCAAGGTAACAAACTACTTTAAACTTTTTTGAATATCAAAATCAAGGTCTTTCAGATATACCTACCAACTGAATTTATCCAACTAACAATAAGGAAAATTTTTGTTGACCCTACATTAACGAATGAGCAGGCAGACTAAATATTGTGGAACTAAGAACTATGGTGAGTTAGTTAAGATTAGACAGAGTATAAGAATTTAGCATACATATTAAACTGTTATAATATTGAAGTAGTGAACATCCAAATAGCATTTTTGTTCAGGTGACATCTTTTTATGATAGGAAACTATGCTACAAGTATGTCTTTTTATCCCGAATTCGAAGGTTCTAAACTACTCACTACTTTAAAGTGATTAGCCTGTTTATCATTCATTTAGATGTCTGAGAATAAAGCTAATCGGTGCATTAATAGTAATCATACAAATACTTTAAACAATTTGATATGTACAGTAATGAAGCAATCTGAAAGGCTTCTCTGAAAACCCTGCAAAATTTATTTTTCATCTATAAAATATGCGATTTATTCTAATAAAAACCGGAGCTATATTATTAGGACTTAAATTTTATATCCTTCAAACAAATACCATCAGGATAGGCACAGAAATTCAATCCGAAAATTTATTTCACTAATTGAAAGGTTTGTTTCGAGCGAATGAGGGAAAGATAAACTGATTGAAATCAATGCTAGTTGATATCGCGAACCAATATCTCATTTCGCCCACATTAACATTAAAAATATTGTCCAAACAACACCTGACAGCATCAAGAAACCTTGAGTGAAATGTTGATGTACTGGTATTTCAGTCAGATAAATGTTCAGATATTGTCCTTGTGAACATTCAAGATGCAAGATAGATAAAAGTAACAAGAACTAGATTGACTCAACGGAAAAAAGAATGATGAGCGTGATCAGGAAATTCCCGAAGTAGAAAATGATTGGTAATTCTAACTACATTTATCTAAAGCCTTAGGGTCTCGTTTTCTCCTTATGTATGGTTTACTAAAGGTGGATAAACAAATTATTCCATTTAGCCCTATTTTGTTGATGGCTGATCCACTTTACTGAAAAGTTACCCACTGGCTAGCTGGGAAATCAAAGCCATTTCATCAGCTGTTAGATATATGCTTATTGAAAGATTCATTGGAACTTGTGGAGAGTATGAATCACGTAAACACTTCTAGTAAGTAGATGGGTTTTTTATGAAACATACTGTCAGTTACTAAAACTTACTCATCTAAACACCATTTCACGTAACATTGGAAATACACTAGAATTGAGCCTGATAAGTGCTAAAAATGTCTCAGTAAAAATGAATATCCCTAGTAACTGTCTTAAGAAATATAGAAAAAGTTAAGATAAAAAACCCAAGGGAACCATGCTAAACAGAAGGAGTATTTTTATCCTACCATAATTCAAAGGTGACAATGTTACAGAGGATATCGATGGAAGACTAAAAACTTCATTAACCATAACAAACTGCAGTTAAACTGATTTTCTTGTGCAAAAAGCATGCGTTTTTGTAATTCAACCAAAGATCGACATTTGCTCCTTTCATGTTATCGCTAATCACAAGTACAAATTTATATGTATCTACCAGAGTGTTTACATTGGGGGAACAGAAACAACTGTCTATGTTCTGAGGTCAAACGAATCAAAGGCTTTCAGGAGTAATATTTCAAAACATCTTGACAAAGGATATTAAGTTTGTACGCTGAAGTCTTTCAAGATTATGAATAATATTAGTCTTCCTATATTTTCTAAGGCCGTAAATATCAATTGTCTGGAAGTGAACTTACATATTCAGGAAGAAACAGTGATAAATCTTTCTGTACCATCGTAAAATTGCACTCATTTTATACTACATCACCTCCATTTCAATCCTTTCTCATAGTTCCATTAAATCATTTTTGTTTTGTTTTGAATTCATAATTTTATTTCCAACTGAACTAATACAACTCGTGTTATTTTTTTTTACTACCAATAATCTGTGTTCAGTTAATTTATTACTAAAATTTTTGTTTTATGATATTTAGTAACTAGTTTAAATAACTTGGGATTTCCTCTTTCAAATGGTGCTTCTCTCAAATAATTTTTACGATCCTATTAATTCTATTATTTTTTCTCGTTAGCGTTTTTTTAGCGAGTTAGTTAGTTTTTCTACGGGATGGGGTCGCAAACCACATGCCCAACCCTCCTCCTTTACCCGGGCTTTGGACCGGCAGTAACTCTAGAAGAGCTACTGCTATGTGGAGAACTACTACATCCATCGTCAAGAAGGCACAGTATTTATAAACAGTTGTCTACGCAAAATACTCAACATTCACTAGCCGGATATTATCAGCAACAGCGTTTTATGGGAGAGGACAAACCAGATTCCAGCTGATTAGGAAATATGAAAAAGACGTTGAAAGTGGATAGGACATACGCTGAAGAAATCACCAAACTGAATCACGAAGTAAGCCCTAACTTGGAATGGTGAAGGGAAGCGGAAAAGAGGAAGGCCAAAGAACACATTACGCTGGGAAATAGAAGCAGATATGAAAAGGGTGAATAACAACTGTTAAGAACTGGAAAGGATTGCCCAGGAAAGGGTTGGATGGAGAATGTTGGTGTGCGGCCTATGTTCCTCCACGAGGGGTAACAGGCGTAATTAATTAATAATTCTATTGACGTATTCGACCCATCACTCTACACTTATTCATTTGTAATCAACTTCGCTTTCATAAATGTGTCAACTTCTACAGTAATTTAGACTCGAAAGTATTATAGACTGTAAGCAGCTAACGAGATTCTAATATAATAAAATGAATTAATATTATTTTGCTCAAATCTTTACATTTTATTGCTTTAAGACAATGAAAACTATGTGTATGAAATAAAACAACGATTACCACTACACATAGTTTCAATATATCAATTGAAGATATACGTTTCATATCCGTGTATCATGTGTTTAACACAAGCAAAATTAAGTGACCTTGTGAATTTGTCTATTTTAAGTAGTATATGAGTCACTAGTTGATTGGTCCATAATATTTAAGTATAAAAATGATTGGTTGTATTACTTTTAGTGATTCATATTTTACATCTGTTAACTTTCAAATAAAAGAAAAGAATGGGAATAACGCTTAGACAAAATAAAAAGAGAAGAAAGATAAACTGAAATGAGCTAGTAAATGGAAAAGGGAAATATAGTTAAACATATAAAGACACATATATATTTATGCATCTATATGAACTTACTTCTCTTGTCCAGCTGTATCCCATAATTGTAGATACAAATTAGTCCCATCGCAATGCATAAATTTTACATGAAAATCAATTGCCACAGTTAATGGAAGATTTAGATCAAATACACCAGATACAAATTTTCGTATAATACTTGATTTTCCAACACCGGAATCACCAACAAATATAACTTTGTAGACACGTTCAGCAAATGATCCATTCTTTTTTAAATATAGGTAAAGAACATGAATAAAATGAAAAGAGGATAACAACACATAGACAACTGAAGATAATTATTAATACATAATAATAATAGTCAGGAAACTATTGAAATAAGAAAAACAAAAAGTAAACAATTTTTTAATAATTTTAACCCTTTATGTTGTTGTATCCTAATAATATGTTTTTGATCTAACCCAGGTACTTCTACTTATCGGAGAGCCGTACTTTTTTTAACAGAGGTAGCGACAGAAGAGGAGGAATACGTTTGGTAACGTTATCGGAAGGAATTTTTCAAGTATGTTAATCTTCCTAATGTTTATCATCAGTTGATGTCTGTATATATGACCCAATATAAAACCAAATCCAGTATTCTCAGGTTTCCCGATGAGGATGATATCAGTGGACCTATTATCTGAAAACACGGTATAACTGTGCAATCATCATAATTATTATTTCCAAAAAAATATACGAATTTTTCTAATAAGAACCTTGTAGAAACCTGAAACTTCAACAAGTAGACGAATATTTCTTTTTGAATGAACAAGGGTTTAGAAAACGAAACGAGTAACAGGGTTTAATACTGAGCTATATATGTAAGCCTAATAATAAACATCTATGCTTTACTCTTTAAATATTATTCAATAGTTTGTATGTCAAATAACAGAAAAGCTACTCACAGTAGTCGAGTCAGCATTTGAGCTCATGTAAGAAGCCCCATCAGGTGAAACTCTTCTTCCACTACATGATTAAATGAATTAAAAACAGCAGTTATTAATAAAATGTTTTAAGTTTGATGATTGTCATAGCCGTTTATAATGCACAACAATACTTTAATCACAGATTGATATCGATTCACACAGTTATCGAAAATCTTAAAGCACTAAACAACAGGTTAGTCCTCGTTAGGAGGTATTCAGCAATATCAACCCGATATTTTCCCCATTGTTGGATCTATTAGATATTATTCACTTATTGAATAAGAGTCCAGTATATTTCAGGTTCAACTTTAATTTATTCAATATATAGTATCAATATCACTTAATATTATTACTAGTTATTCATTTTACACAACCCTATCGATTCAAGAGACTATAGCTTCAGTGTCAAATAAAATTACAAATTATAACTAGATTACAATTTAGTAAAACTTCCCTAATGATCAGTTAAATATCTGGTTAAAAAAATAGATATACATTGAATTTATGAAGGCATTTATAGGAGTTTGACTTATACGTTTATGCGTATAATATTGAATTTCGAACAAACTTTTGAATTCTAAAGAATATTTTCTCATTAAGTGAATTAGATATTGTTGAAGATAAATGTAACTTATACAAATGGAGTTTCTAAGTAAGTTATTTTTCAAGACAGGATTGTGCTTTCGTCAAGAAAGGTTACTCTACTGATAAGTGATTGAATATTTTAGTGCTTAGTACTTAATATAAACATAATTGTACCCATTCACTGTGCTTTTTATCTTAATACCTTATTAATCGGAACTTCTAGATGCCACTGAACATAATTGGATTTATATTTATTACCAACTTATTATAAGAGAAGCATATCCTAGAATAGTGATGGCAAGTACCTTTCAGTTAGCTAAATGTAGTTGAATAATTATTAACTTATGATAAAAAGTACAAATATAATTTCATTTTCTTCTGCGGAACTCTAACAATAGTAGTAATAATAATATTAGTGACAGTGATAATCGATGAACTCACTTTGGCATATAACGTACTTCAGCTGAATCATTCATATGTGCTCGAGATTTCTGTGAAGTTTTTCGCATATGAGGGGTGTATATACTGCCAGGATCTATAATAAGTTACTTATAAGAGATTTTTTAAAAATAAAATATGATCTACATTGATTGAAAACTTCTTCATATTCTTCAGCTTCATCAATATTTTCAAGATCTCCTTCACGTATACTGTCATCATTCAGTCTAAAGTGATGCCAAATTAGAATTTAGAATTTATATTTAAAAATCCATACGGTCAATTATTTGTTCCTTCTCTGTCTGAACACTTAGATAGTTCTAGTTTGGAATTTGGTGATTCACACTAACTTGTTCCCTTACGTTGTTTGTAAAACCATCTTTCTGCGTTCGTAATCGATTTTGAAATGTCCATCAAACATATTTTTAATCAGTTAAACATCTCAGTGTATTAATCAAATATAAACATCAGAGTTATCTTGAAACAATTCAGTTTAGTTATAAAAGTAATAGAGTTTTTAATAAAGGTGCTGAATAGATAAGGATTGTTCTATGATTATGGGATTATGCAGTATTTTTTAAAATCAAAAACTGTGTTAATATGGGGAGTTGTGGAGATTGTAGCATCTCAACAGTTGAATTCATGAGTCGATCTAAGTTAGACCACCATTGAAAACCTGAGAACATGAACGACTGCTATTTTCTAGTTAGGCACTCCTCAGTAGTGGGTTTGAGTTCCACGTGCGGGATTGTGTATGCGCACTGCTGAGGAGTTGCGTACTAGAACGAAACAGCCATCCAGTGCTTCCAGGTTTTCAGTGGTTGTCTAGCTTAGATTGACTCGTGAGTGCAGCTGTAAAAACTGTGTATTAAATACCATAGTTACTGAGCAATACTAATAATTTAGATTTGGACTATTATTTGATGTACTCATTTGATAAATAGATAGCTACCTAAATAATATATTATAATAAATAGTAACAGTAATGCATTTATTTGATTTAATTAGGAACATTCACAATTGCATTTATTAAGAACAAAATTTCAGTTAAGTATCATCCATGATTCTCACTGATTTGTTGAACTGAACTTATCTAACTCACTACTAAAATAGTTTGGGCAGTAATATCATTGGAATAAAAATTTAATACAAAAATTTATACAATCATAAATAAATGCTAGACTTACATGACTGGTGTGAAATAATTACTCAGTGTAGAACCTCTTCTTGCATCTGCAATCTCAAAATTTGTTGCATCCAAATCAGTTGAACTACGTAGTAAATGTGGTAAAGCGGCAGTATCCTTTATTGTTGTATCTGAAGTTTTTGCATTGTTCATATCAAGTGATTGTGATTTACTGTGAAAATCACGTAAATCAACTGTTTGTGATGTTTCTTTTACTGCGTAAAGCGTTTGGGATTTAAACTCTTGTTCGTCGACTAACTTTTGATTAATAGTCCTATATAAAAACGATTAAAAATTGTAGAAGTTAATTAGTTTTTTTAAGGGCTCTATCCTGGATGAAGTGATACTGGTTGAAGAAAAGTAAAGAATAGGTCATTTTTCACGGTAATTTACTTAAGTTGTCACAGGAAAAAACGCCACTGAATTCATACTTGATGCCTGGATTATTTCCCACAGAAGAAGAGGATTTGCAACTCTATTTTAGATAAGGATCGAAGGAATTTACAGATAAGAACCAGAATTGAGCGAATTTCGGAAAATACGTCAATGTTAAACCTGGAGGATTCTTTATTCTATTCACAAACGGATAGAGATGAGATATAAAGGAGTTTCAGGTCTATCCAATAAAACATTAGGAAATTGATTTCACTGTTTGGAAATAGTCAGTATGAAACCCTGACCCTAGGTTTCACTCCAGTTTGTATTATTCTGTAAGACATATCTGACATCTCATGTGAAATGATGCTCCTAGTAGAGTTGTAAATTGGTGTCGCTAAGTGCTACAATCAGGCCCCCAAATGCCCTGGTACGGCCGAGAGTGGGGAGAGTACGCTCGCCCTTTCGAAATGCTCTCACATGGCCACGCGTATATAGCCTCTGCCACGGAAGTCCTACTCACTACCTTCTCGTGGCGGGAGTGTTGTTTACGAAAGTGAGAGTACGAAAAGCGAATGTACGGCGCTTTAACCGGGTTGGTGGTTGTGGAGTGTCCATCTAGGGGAGTTGGAAAACCCTGATTCCAAACCATTGGTGCACATGGTCTCCAGTATCGTGAGGGAACAAATGACGTATGAATCAATCGTTGGTCACCGGTTACCATGGGACTGCATCTCCTTAAGATGCTCCACTGCCTTGTGGATCAGATCTTTAGGTCAAAGGTTCCGGGTGTGGCCCCCTAAGAAAACCACTAGCTTCAGTTTGGGCACCTGAGCAGTATCACAGCCCTTACACAAATCAAATGAGATTTGTGTGGGGCATGTGTTTTTGGTGCTTCCTTGTACCAGTATTTATGTGTTCAAATAAGTAAATAAATAAACAATCATATATATTACCACTAAACCATATGATTCTCAATCAACCTATTTCTAAATTTACTAATGATTGTCTAGCTATTAGTTTACAACTTGATCGATAGGATCAATCGATCGAAACTAGAAAACAAGACATTTGGTACCATTTAGTGATCAATTAATGTTAGAATATTTTGTGACATCCTAAGTATTTCTTTTCTACTCTTTTGTTTCATTTTCTTTAGGTTAAAAAGTGGGATATCGAATACTTCTCTTCTTCATAAATTTCAATTCAGTTTGATTTCAATTTAAGGTAATGTAATTATGACAGTAAAAAAACACACATGTTTAAATTTTATGAAACATTAAGTATAATGTATGATATTTAGTAATGATTTAATAGGTACACTTAATTATGGAATAACAATTATGGTGTTGTTGTTTTTTGGTTTGACCATAATTAATCACTATAAACTAACATACTTCATAATGTGTATTAACTGATTTTCATCAGCTTTTATTATATAATAATTAGGTTATGATAATGGTTATAATTTTATTTTTTTAAAAAAACTTGTTAAATAGTAAATTAGTGAATAGAGTAGAATGTGTATTTGAATTACTGCCAAATGAATTTTATACCGAAATCTAAATAAGTGGTTATAACTAGTGATGACATTGTATGTGGATATCCACTAGGATGATATTTGTATAATACCATCAAGTTATTAGCATTTTAAAAAAGAAAATGATTAATGATGTGCTCACTGTGATAAATCGAATAGATTAACTTGGATGTGTATAATATTGTGAATGTTCACTTCTGTCTATTTTTATCATGAAGTTCCAAATTAGGAAGAAACTTGACTATAAGAGGTTAATTAGACAAATGATATTGAATTTGTTCATCTTACATCATTTTGTGACAACAGATAAGGAACTAATCTTCACAATTGACTCATCTGAATAATGAACTTGCCTACATTGATAACTAACATGGATATATTTTCTGTGAAATATCATAGCTGACTCGATTTTTGTGGAGTGAGACAATCACAACTGATGACATTGGTGCTATATTATAAGTTAACTAAAGTTGGGAATATAGAATGTGGAATTTCAATTCATACACTTAAAGGCAACTTCTCTGATGTAAATTTCGCAGGCCATGGGTTTGACTTCCGATGGGGTTATGGGTTCATGTTACTGAGTTCTATACAGATACATAACAGCTACGCAATCTGTTCTGGTTTTCGGTGATTTTTGAGTTGAAGTCGATTAGTCATAATGGTACCCATCAGGCTAAATTATTATCCACCTCTAATTTAATTACAAAAATCACACTTTATCTATTATATTTTAAAGTACTTTAGTGTCATTACTTGAATATTATGTCAGAAAAAGAGCATGACAACATAATATAACTTTGGAATCAACTTCAAATGTATATAACACCCAAACTTATGATGATAAGTTAATGCGTGATATTTATCTCCTACGTTTATATATCTATACTCGTATAATCAACAACCTAACAAACAATATCAATCATAAGCTATTTTACAGTTATGTAATCATTTTAAGCCTATCTTCAACACATTTAAACTACGTTCATTTATTGTAATTCCAGTTCATTTACAGTTAACGACAAGGTGTTAAGCAAAGAAAGACGCTATAATTAGCTTGAGATCATTAAATAAATAACTTAATTAATCAGGTTTATAAAAAAACCTACAGACTATGAATAGAAAAAGACATTGTATCATTGCAATAGAGAATAGTAAGATACTAATAATAGAAAGGTATTAAAGTATTGTACACTGATTATAATAAGTTGATACTAGAAATTACATTATTTAACAAATATTCAATCATTTAAGTAATATGATCAATAATGAATTTTTGACCTTCTTCTGACCTTCAAATTTTAAAAAATTTATATTTTTAAACTAATTAAATTGAGTCATCATAGTTTTATTTTAATTAATTAATCAGTCTAGTATATAACTAGCTCATTAAATATATATATATATTTATTTAATAGTGATTTATTCATTTCAGAAGGGGGTTTTGTGGAGATTTTAGTAATTTTATATAGTTGAGATCATGAGTCAATTGAAACTAGACCACCACGGAGAACCTGGAAGTACTGGACGACCGTTTCGTTCTATCGCGGGACTCCTCAGCAGTAAGCATCCACGGTCCCGCCCCGCGAGATTCGAACCCAGGACCTATCAGTTTCGCACCAGAGCACTTAACCTCTAGACCACTGAGCTGGCCGGCATCCAACGGTGTTAATGTCTAACATCAACCAATCCACGAAATCGAGCAACCATTGACCAATGTCTTCAGTGAGTTGATATCTCCCAACAGACTTGGTCGAACTCCACTGGTCACTGCTTCTCAATAGAACTCCAGGAAATACCTCATGGAGCCAGTCACCAGTGAGCATATGATCAGTATCAGAAGAGTGTTTTGTGGAGCTTTTAGTAATTTTATATGGTCACTATCATTGATATTATTTTTAGAATGTTGATGAAATAGAAAAAAATCAGAATGTAAGTAGTTAATAATTTTTATGTAGAAAAGATTTAGTACCATTTCTGAAGACCAATGTTAAGATTTGATGAGAATGAAGTGTACCTTTTCAATTGTTTTTCATTTTATACAAATTAATAGGTGATGTTATACTTTTGTAAAGGAAATAATAAATATAAACTACACAATTCATTCAATAATGAAACTATAGGTAAGTGGATTTACAACTGTGATTCACATTCAACTTTACGACTATACAATTATATGTGAAAATGTTACTGATTGTAAAAATTTAGTTGATCCTGGTGTTGAATATATACATACCTTAACATATCAAGTTGTCTTACTAATGTTTCACGTTCTAATGCTATGCCTTCACTAAGTTCTATGGCTGCTTTTGCTCTACGTCGACGTTCTTCACGTGCTTTCTTCTGTAATGTATCAATATAATCTTTACATTCATTTAACATTTCTTGTGATTCTTCTAATTTTCGTTCTAGATCTTCTTTTTCTTGTAATAATTTCTCTTTTTCTTGTGCAATGCTCATTCGAGTCTTTTGAAGTTCTTCTACTTTGCTAGAGGCCTGTAAAGATATCATTTAATAAAGATAAGAATTACACAAATATACATATTTTTGCTCTAGATCTCATTAATACAAGCAATAATTAAGGTTTAAATAAATATACATATATCTTTTATCACCAAATAAGATCTATTGAATAATACTGTTGCTTTTCCCCAAAGCCCAGCCATAGGTCGAGCTCAGAACTGTCAGACTCAGAGAAATATATGAAATCTACAGATTACTAGGTGCAAAATAATTTGAGAATGTGATCTTTGAGTTATAATTTAACCCTAGATATAAATGGTCACGGAATCTAACTAAAAGGCGAGAAGTCATCTTCAAACTAGTTTTTATTGCCTATATAGTTAATGCATAAAATTTTGGTTCTTATCCATTTTGTTACATTAGTATGTATTGCCTAATAATTTTTGAGTGAAAATAGACGTTCGGTGTTTATATAACCCATGTTGATTCGTAATGGAATATGTTTTCACAGATATGCACACTAGTAATAATGCATATCATAATATATGAAAACTAGTTTACATTTGACTAAATTAATCTTTACCCCAAAGAAGTTTCGTAGTCAGAAAATGGAGCAACATATTTATTTTCACTAGAATCTTATTGATCATCAAAGTCATGACTATTAGCGCAGTGTATTTTTTAAAATAATCCCATAATAGACAAATTTGTCAGACCTTACAAAATTTTGGACAATCAACGAAATTGACTGCAAAATGTTCCTTTATTAAATATTGTCTCTTGGAAATTTGAATTAATGCACCTCACTATTCCCACAATATTTGAGTTGTGTTAAAAGTAAAGGACGTTTATATATATATATATATAATTTATATGGAAAACTTTTTAATTCTAGAACTTTGACTATTTTCAGTTTATGATGATGGAATTTATTGATTCCATCAGTTGAAATTCGGATATTGAGTAGTAAACTTACGCTCTGGTCTACCTCATTTAATGCCCCTAATATAGGTAATGCGAGAAAGGACATCTTACCATCTTTCACGCTATATAAAACATGAATATTGATGCCTGTGATTCGACTTTCTCGAGAAATTTGCTAAATTGTCTCTTTCATTGGTTTTTAATCATTCAGGTCATCTGTGGAATCGATTTTTCTCTGAGTAGTGAGTATTATTGTATTGATCTAGTCCTTCTGTCCTGATCAAGTGCTACCTATCGAGGTATAATGTGGCTAGTAGTTCGAATAACCTGAGATTACGTGAACTATGTTGAGATGTTAGGTAGCTGGTGGTAATTAAATTAAAACTAAGGAACTATGTTTAGTGATATTTAGCACTCGTTAGCAATCTGTACTCGTACATGTGACGCTTGATCATATCCACAATGGAGCACTAATTACCTCAAGATTACATATATGATCTCCTGACGGGTGTAAGGTATAGAGTTTCTCATCGATTACATCCAATCACATAATATAGGTTGTTTGTGAGCATTTTTCTTAGGGAAACTTATTGTCCAACCCAAATTTATCAATTATAAGTTGTATGATCATCACTTCGATATGAAAATTTAAATTGGGTACCGTTCACCATTATAAATGATTCAGTAGTTCCTTTTTTAACAGTATTTTTAAGATCATCTGGATTCCTAACAAAATTTAGATTACAGTTATCATTTAGATGTAATCATATGAGTTAGGTACTTCAATATTATCTCAGTCATATAACTTAACAAAACATTAGATATCTCCATTTTTAGAAAGATTTAGACTGATTTTAAAAGTTTGAATGGATCGCTAATGACGTTTCGATCAAGAATTTATTATTGTAACTTATTTTCCATTTTAAATTCCTCCTTTTTCAAGTGATCTTTGGAGACAACTGTTAAGAAATCCTTTCATTTTGTAGCTTATGAGGTTGTTTTACCGATAATCAAAACCAAAATATATACTTTTCAAAAAGAATCAAAGATTTAAATTTATTTTATTTGGGATTAAATTCATAAGACCCAACATCATAGCATTCAAAACTTTGGCGACCTCTTGTAAAACTTGGGGATGCACAGAAACGTCTCATTACATTGTAACTAATATTTGTGGTGAACTACATACAGTTGCGTATACTTTATTCACAAAGCATGTGATGTGATCAGTAATATGATAGACAGAACTTGATGAATATTAAAAATTAGTTTTTCATCACTAAATGGGAAGTTATTATACTTGAATAAAAGAAGTTATTTCAATTTGTAATGACTGGTAAAATACTTCTTACCAAATGGAGGGAACTGAAAACAAACTCATGAGTTTGCATTGGCATTATGAAATGTACGTAATGGGCTCGCTGTATGTAACCTATTTTGTCAATTGATTGCTTATCTTAACATATAAGGGAAGAAGTTCCGTCCAGTGAATCCAAAAACAAACTGATTTTATTATTCTAGATGTGTTTTATAATTATTCTGAATCAGAAAAAAATGTTAAATACTACGAATAATATTATTTTCTGCCTGAAAACTTTATACATCAGATGGCAGAACTTCAGTTCGTAAATTTACAATCATTTACATCTATACTATATCAGATTTATACATTTGGTAGTCAAAAGATAAGTTCTTATCAAACTAATATGTTAATACTTTGTAGACTCACATAAAGTTACCTTTTATATGAAACACTAATGAGAGCTTAACTAGTAAGTTTTCTCTTTCAAGTTTGCATGCTCTAGGAATTCGACATCATAGATGCTATCCTAGTGATAACAAAATAACAGCTCAATGTTCTTTACATTTCACTACTTCTTAATTGGATTTCAGTTTATGTTAAAAATAGACATTTTCAGGTAAAAATATAGATGTTATTTCTTTCTAATATTCAATAGTCAAATATTTCTCAATTCTTTGTGCGTTTTAAGAATAACTAAAATAAGGATATTGTATTCAAATCGAAATTGATCCCTTTCACAGGTGAATGTACTACAAACTATTTATCATGTGAACACACATTTTAAAAACCCTTACTTTTTCAAATTGTTGTACAAGGTCATTTAACAATTTTTCTTTTTCTTGTACTTTATTATTTAATTCCTCTTTCAATTCTCTTTCTTTGAGTTCTTCCTTTATATAAAGAAGGAAAAAAATCAAAGCTCATTTTAGGAAAAGATTAAAAACACTTGAAATATAAAGTTTACTACAACTATTGAAATACAACTATATGTTATTGGTTTGTTTGTATATTATTGGGAAATTAAATGTTCATGTAATGTATAGCATAAAAATACACAATGCAATGTTTCTTCACAATGGATACAATAAAACACTACAATATTTAATTAGTTTATTTAATTTTAAAGATTATAATCGTTGGATTAGTATACATTTTGTTAAACATGTAATTGAATCTCACTGATGAGTGTGAATAAGTGCGAAATATCAATTAATAGGTTACTACTGATGAAAACTATGGTTAAAAAATCACTGTAATGAACACTAGTAAAACTAGAAGAAATAATAAAATAATGATGAAAATATAACTGAAAGCGTGAGTCAATTGAAGTTAAACCACCAGAGAAAACCTGAAAGAACAGGATGGCCGTTTAGTTCTATTATGGGACTCCTCAGCAGTGCGCATCCACGACATCACCTCACGATATTCGAACCCAGGACCTACCGTTCAGTGTTTCCAGGTTTTCCCTGGTGGTCTAGCTTCAATTGACTCACGCTTTCAACTGTGAAAATACTAAATCTCCACAAAACCCCTTCTGATAATGAAAATATAACTCCTAATTAAAGTATAATTAATCTATATACTTTCAAATGATTTCTAGATATTTATAAATATGTTAGAAAATCTATTGCGGACTCCAAAGTTAACTGAATAAGTCGAGATTACCATAATTAGAAATATGGACTTAGAAAGTTCTCATATTTTGTGTTTGGATGATTTAGTAATCAATAGACTTAACTTTTTCTTATTAATTAACTGTAAAGAAATGAGAATGTGTAACATGCAATATTATAAATTAGATGTATTTAAAAAGGATTTTATATCAAATTATTTGTAATTATGTTTTATCTTATATTATTCTTCTAACGGAAAATTGCATTTTTCAACCAAAATAGTTGGATAATTTGAATATACAATCATTTTACACTGGTGTTAAGTGGAGAAGATTTGTAGCTCAGGTGGGTGATTTTTATAAATGTTTCATTGTCCTTCTGAACGACATCATCAGCACAAACTTCGGGTAGATCTAGATTTTCCTGTCAGCTATCGTCATAAAGTATAGCATTGAACTGATATGTTACGAAAGTTTTCAAATACATCGATAACTATTTAGCTGAATAACGCCGCCAAAATTCTCATCCTAAATAACAAGCATCCTTTATCATATGTACTTTCAATGTGCATTTATTAAATAATTGGTTTATTAGTTTTTATAATATCCAATTGTAAGTCTTCATTTAACTCACCAAATGTTATTTCTTTCTTTTATTGTTCAAAAATTACTGTAAACTAATCATCAATATGTTATTTACAAATATTCTTTTCATATGCGTAACCGTGTGTTTTAGCCTTATATTTTTATGAATATAATAATGTGAACATCGAATTTTAAATTATACGCAATAACGCAAAATGTTTGATTGTGTTTTGTTGGTACTTTAACTGGTACTTATGGAAGGGCTTCAGAATTTCGCGTAGCTGTTGACACTATGAAAATTTTTATTAGACTAAGAGTTGCTAATGCGAGTTTATTCATTTGACATAATCTAACCTACTACCAAAATGTTTATATAAGATAGAATGAATAGACCCAACTACAATAGTTTAGTCAGACCCTTGAATATATGTATATATTATCAATGGAGCTTATTATTATAGTTGATGTTTATTTTACAAATATAGGACTGTTCATTATTATTGAATTATATACAAGGAGAAACAAATATATGTCAAAACAAACTGTTCACCTTTTGTTTTAATTGTTCCTTTTCTTGATTAACTTGTAGCTCGAGTTCTTCAACTAAATTGTGCAATTCTTCATCTTGTTTCATTATTTTACTATTAAAGAAAGAGAGAGGGAAAAAACAAAAAAACCCAATCGATTACAGAAATAATAAATAATGTTATTTATAGAGATTGTTGAATGTTGTTATTATACATTAAAGGTTGACTGTAGTTAGAAAACTAATGAAAGCAAAGAAAATAATGGACAGCTGTTCTATCGTAGTATTGAACACTTCTGTAATGTACATTCACTATCACACCAGGTCTTGAGTTTCTGATCCCTGGTGATTTCCAATGCCTGTCTAACATGGATCACTTATTGATGTAAAATCATAAATGATTAAAAATTTATATGGAATGTATAAAATTTCACTATGATAAATTTCAGGATTCATAACTGATTTCTACAAGGTTTGGGTGAATCACTTTATTCTTTGGCGTTTAATTATTATCAAGTTATTGTCTGACTCGATTTAGAAATGATAGGAATGTCATTTAACTTCTTTATAATATTAAACGTTAATGATGAAGTGTATTATTGTAAGATTTGAAATGGATACATAATAAGTATACATTTTTTGAAAAGATATTACTCATTCCAATGGCAGTTGAATTTGGAAAGCCATAGTACACAGTAAGTGATGTTAGTGTCTTACATGTGAATTTTGGGTAGATTTTTAAATCAGGCATTCTTCGCTAGTTAGCTCCCAACTTTTTTCAACTAAGACCCAGCAATATAAGCTAATAATGAAATATGTGTATTCAAAAACAGGTTGTTCTCACCTTAAACCTACCCTGGTAATATGAGCTTATTAGCCAGAGTGATTACGTGTCAAATTGTTTTTACATTATTATTATTATTATTATTATTATTATTATTATTATTATTATCCTTGTATACCCTTACCCCTCATTTCCCGTCTAGTTGACCTTTTATTTTTATATATAAATGTTCTTAACAAGTATATGTGCGATCAGATTGTTCGAAATGTATTGCGCTAATCTATCACATAGTTCTGATAAACTTCGTCCTCTTATTACACTATCGAGAAATATGGATAAACAAACTAATTATAATTAACTTTGATTAAGAAACTTCATGTTATCCTATTTAACGAATAAATGTAGAATAAACTTGGATTATTACAGATTTGGAATTAGTGACTTCAAGAATATTCTGTGATTGTGTTTCATATTTCATTATTGATAGGTCAACTTAAATCAAAGAAACTGTTGATGATATTATTATGTTTCTTGAGAATTCAAAAGAATTTATTCTCAATTCATAAAATTAAGATGTAAATTCATTTATATATAAGCGAACAATATTGTTTTCGATTAGATCCTCATCAGGCTATACTCTAATATATAGTAATATTTATATGCATATACGAAATTATTAAACCAATCAATGCAGTTTATGAGTCAATGATAACAGTGGAACAGATTACATAATCAAAATTCATAATAAGTAGAAAGTACAAATTGGTAATGACAGGTGTACTAGTTGTGATAAGAATAATAAAAGGCTTGAATCAATGTTACATAATAGGAAAATAGGTCAATGATTAGAAAATATAGACACTGAAATAACAATCATAGAAATTATAAGATTACGTAATAAGAAGTGTTCAGATAATTTGAAGCGAATATTAGAAAAATTATAAGTAAATAATTGATAGGGGGGTGAAGAAAAATATACGAAGAAAGAGTATGGAAAATAAGATTATTTATTAAGGCCAAGGGAGGGATAAGGGTGTTACAAATTTCTTATGAACACAAAGACTTGGGTTGTTGGATCGAATTCCTATAGCTTCTGCTATGTGTAGGAGACGAGATCGAACCCCATAAGGAAAAGTAGTAGGAATACGATAAATAACTTTAAAAGACTGGTTTCTGTCAACCTCATGACCGCTATCAATCAAGTGTGAAAGAATCGAGCTCCGTATCGACTTGACCATACCTTTTCCTAACCACGAAGGGAGGCGTTCACTAACTCTTTGGTTCAATTGTCTGGTAGTGCGCCCAATATAGCTTTCTCCACAAGAGCAGCTGAATTTATAGATACACATAGAAGTGGCATAACCAGGCAACTTATCCTTTAGTTGGGGAATCACCACAGATCGTGTCGAGTAAGAAAGAAAGAGGTCGGCAGCATTAAACGTTCTCTTAACTGCTTTAGTCAGTCTATCCCGTAGTACATCATCAGCTGAATCGCCGTTGAATTGTAGTTTTAGGAAGAGTGGTTTCTTCGCAGCTGTTGATATCTTTACTTTCTTATTTGTTGAATGTAAATGTTTCTTCAGGAATCCTAGTGGATAACCTCTTTCAATCAACATATTATGGATAACCTCTAACTCATTGTTGATAGAATCGACTGAGCAAATCTTCCTATCTCTATTTGCCAGACATTTAACTAAGTTCCTTTTATAGTAGATAGGTACGAAGCTTAAGAAGTGTGTGTACTAGCTAGATGAAGAGCTTTTCCTAAACACACTTCTACTGATGGACCCGTTCGCTTTTTTTATTAACAATACGTCAAGGAAATTTAATTTGTTATCTATTTCTTCTTCACATGTGAATTTAATAGCTTGGTGTTTATTGTTAAACTGTTCGAGTAGTTCGACTTTGCCAATGTCCTGATCCACAATAATAAAAGTGTCATCAACGTACCGACAATAGAAGTCAAGCTTGTTGATAACATCTTTGAGGAGTCCATTCTCTAGTTTCGCAAGAAAAAAGTCCGCTAGGATAGGACCTAGAGCTGAACCCATCGCTATTCCATCAATTTGTCTATAATATGTATTATTAAAGACAAAATGAACATTCATTGTACATTTCAAAAGTAACTCTTTAAGACTGACCTCAGGAATTCCGACATTGATTTGTTTTTCATGCAATTGTTGACACACAAAATCAATAGTTTCAGTTAGTGGAACGTTGGTGAACAGGGAAGCAACATCTAAAGATATCATCCGTTCCCCAATTAAGTTCATATGTTCAACCTTCGAAATGAAATCAAAAGCGTCTTTCACGCTTTTGTTGACGACTAGTTTGTGTAAGAGTTCCAGGATTTGAACTAGCCACTTTGCAGTTTTATGGTAGGGTGAATTATACATGTCTAATTGTATTATTTAATTTGAAGTCAATGTAATGCCTTACAGGTAAAGTTTTGTAGATTAATGAATAAAATGTGTTTTCAATAGTTAAGATCATGAGTCATTTGAAGCTAGACCACCATGGAGAACCTGGAAGCACTGAACGGCCTTTTGGTTCTATTGAGGGGCTCCTCAGAAGTGCGCATCCACGATCTCGCCTCGAGAGATTCCAACCCAGGACCTATCGGTCTCGCGCCAGAGCACTTAACCTTTAGACCACTGAACTGGCCGGTATTCAACGGTGTTAATGTCTAACTTCAACCAATCGACTCATGATCTCAACTATTAAAATTACAATCATATCCACAAAACGCCATCTGATATTAAAATTCATTTGTTTAGTCTTGTAAATGTTAACATGATATTTTATACTGTAGTTCATTATTTCATTGAATTGTTATCCATCATCTATAAACTTTATTTAAATTAAAAGGTTTTGTTTCGGTATTTTTTATAATCTATTTTTACGGAGATTTATCTGAACTTTACAATTTTCGATAATGTAGCTGAAGTTGAATAGTTATCTCGGTTGATGAAACACATTACATATGATAAGATTCAAATAATAAGATTTTCCAAAGTTTATTTATTTCCAGTTAATTTTAATTGATAGAATTTCAGGGTGATAGTGTAAAGAGTAGTTCATCTGTAAAATAATATCTTTTTTCTTTGAAATTTGAATTAAGACAGTTATTAATGAGTTATGTAAGAGTATCAAGATGTGAAATGTTTTTCATAAGCTTATTTAACAACATAATTGTTAAATGGAATATAAATGATTACTGTGACACGAATTGATCACTGGATAGGTACTCGTATCGTGATTATCTAGTCTTTTGTGGGGATAAAATTGTACCAAATGATGAGTTCCAGCTAGTTTAAAACTTTTGGTTAAGAATTAATACCGATTGGTTCTAACCGCCTAACGTTCATGGTGACTTTTAAATTTTCATCACTAAAGTCACAAAACAATGACAACATTATTACTATACTATATTGTCTACTAAAACAAATATTCTCATTAAGGTGTAATGTTTTTGAATATGGAAGTAGTCTGTCTTAAGTTTAAATTAGTTTCAGCGGTTAAATACTCTATATTACATAACCGTATGAGGAAATATTTAAATAGTTGTCGAGTTTGATAACTGCTTATGAAAATTAACGTAACTGTCTACAGACTCTGAATACAAAGTTATAAAAAGAACAGAACTAATACTTAAATTATTTGAGGTGGCATGGGTTTTGTGCATCGATAACAGTTATTTAACAAACATTATTATTTGCATAATTTGACGTAGAACATATACTCAAATAAAACTAGACATTTCATACTGAATTAGGCCGCCTTTGATATAGAAGGCGATAACGTCATACTGTAATTTAATTAAATTTAGAATTGTGGACTATGTACTTAATAATATTATGCTAACTACATGGATTGAGTTTAATCGTGTGTGATAATGGTCGTATGATGATAAAGAGTTATAAACTAAGGCTCTTTTATGTTCTTTTATATTTTGATCTGTTTAAAACAATAGATCTAATGTGATCAAATTATATGGATCTAAATCTAGTTATGGTTGTGAATGAGCATTACTGATCCTCTGTCGATTCCAAAAGTTAGGAAATCAACACTTTGTTCCCCGATGTCGATCACAGGTCCAGGTAAACTATCATTAATATATTACTACTATAAAACGTTATAAAATATCCATTTAGTAAAGTTCATATATGATGACCATTTTGATATAAATGTGTTGAAAGTCTGTCAATATTTTATGAATTTATATGTTTTTTCAGTTCTCACTCATAATGACTGGCATTTATTCTTACGGTAACCATATTACCTATTAGGACTTCATTGTGCTACAGGCATTTCCAATGTTCAAAATATCA